AGTTAAAGACGCTTGTGTAACTCGCCCACTTGTATGGATTGTATGATCACCTGGTACTCTTGTTGGGACCTTGTCCTTCTTGTGGCTGTGACTTTGTCACTATTGGCATGCCTCTTGATTTGGATCATTTGCCATCTTGACTCTGGATTTTTAGTTCGTCTTTAAGTATGGAAGTTGTCCATTTTAAGTACGAATTAGAAAGCCATTTTTAATATGGTTCTTGGTTCTCTTGATTATTGGGCTTTGACCCTTCTTGATACAGGGGCGTCGGCCCTTCTTGATATTTGTTTGTGCTTGGTGTGAAGACATGATGTACATATTGGGCGAGCCTTGTTATTGAATCTCTTGGAAAATGGGGCTATGAGCGTTCTTGACAATTGGATCTCTAAATATCGAACTTGATACTTTTGATATATTGTTTACTTGATTTATTTATTATGTTCGATTATGCTGCCCATGACTTGAGAAAGGTAGTTTTGTGAATTTGATGGCTCCGAACCTATAGTTTTACACCACTAAGCTATATGCTTAGCGATAGTTGTTTCTATCGTAGGGAATAAGCGAGTGTATGCATGAAGCTGTCCATTGGAGAGGAAAATTTTGAGAGCCTTAAGGAAGATCACATTTGCATATAGGCATCTATATTTTGTATAAACCTTGGGATTTGTACATGATCTATGTGTTGTATATTTACATGGAATTTTGAGGACTAATTTGATCATGTCACCATGGGTTGTAATATAAGTATGGCTCTATGTTTTGTTCTTTTGGGGTGTGTAAGCCCAAGTCTTGTAATATATTAAATTTACCACTAATTTTGAATGAATGTGTGAAGCATGAACCACCTATGTTGGTTACTTGGAAGTTGGTAATATTTTTTTTTATGTCATTTTTTTTGGTTCTAGTGTGAGTACAATATATGCATAAAAATCTCGTGAGTTATTGGCTTATATTATTTTGGAAGGGTCGCTACACTACTGACGTGAGAGCTTCCATCTCACTCAATATCCACTCGGTGCTAAGCATAAATCCCACGGAGTAGTTATTAAGTTTTGACTTAACTCAAGCCTCATGGAAAGATGGAAAGATGGAAAGATGTCCCTTGGACAACCAACTCAACTTAGTTCATTAGGATAGCTCCTTAGACCATGCGTGATTAAACCTTTCACCGTCCATGATCACTTTAATCTTAGATTCAATTAGGTGAGAAAGCCTTTCAACTTTAGAATCTTCATTATGTGAGAAAACCTTTCACATCATGTTAATTATGTGTTTATGAGAATGTCCTTTCAACAACACAACAACAACATCATAATCATTGATACTTTACTCTCAAAGCATCCTTAAAGTATTTATATAGATTTCATAAAGACATGCATAATCTCATACTTTTTTCCTTTCAAGGTTCAAAGCCTACTTTCAATCACCACATCTAGAATTCAAGCATTAGACATGGATTTTATTATAATTCATGTGATTCTATCACTTCATGCATAAATTCATAAAATTCCTCTTTCATCAACATAGACTCACATCATATCATCAAAATTGAGAAATATTGGAATTACATGGGTTCATGGGTAAACATCATATAAATCATAGAAAATCATCAATTCATTCTTAATATAACTCAATTAAATCATTTAAATCAAGTTTGAAAGGAACCCATGGTAATTGAAGAAAACCCTAACACTTGGGAATTTCTACCTTTTTGAATTTGGAGATTTTGAGGGAACTCCATGGATAAAAGGAATCCATGGATAAAAACTATCATACCTTACTATCACAGCCCAAAGAAATTGATGTATGAAAACTTGCTCTTGAACCCTAACTTGAATCTCCTTCTTCTTCTTCAAGTTTCTAGAGAGAGAATTATTTGAGAGAAGAACTTTTGGGGATTTCTTTTGGGTTTTGGAAAATATGACTTGAATGGGTGAGTTTTAGAGTTAAAATGACTTATATAGGGGTCCTAGACTTGGGCAAAATTACATAGCTTTAGTTTGATTAAAATTGGAAAAGACCATTTAACCCCCCAAACTTACAGTGCACTGCCCAAGACCACGTGAGGCTCCACGAGCCGTGGTCCTCTTCGTGGTCCATGGACCAGTAGCTAGGTAAGTTCCCCCATAACCCCAAAAATCTAAGGCCACTCCACGAGCCTTCCCAGGAGTCGTGGTCATCACCACGAGCCGTGAAGTGGCTCGTGAAGAGGAGGCTGTTTTGGGCAGCCTTGAGGAGGCCACTGCCTCACCATCATGAGTTGTACCACGAGCCGTGAAGGCTCTCGTGCTAAGGTGGGCAGTGCATAGGGAAAGTTGGGCTGCTCTAGCCCTCTCCCTTGGCTCTTGCCCTTCTTCCTTGATTCTTGCCCTCACACTTAGCCCTAGTTTAGTCTACTAGATTCTAGGGGGTTAAGAAAATAAAAGATTTTAATACTTGCAGTAGCTTTACTATTGATCAATGTATCATATGTCCTCAAGCTAGACAGACTAGAATTCAAATCCCTATAAGACACACTACAGCAGATCATGTGTTTGATTTAGTGCATATGGATGTATTGGGCCCATATAAGGTGACTACTCATAATGGAATGATATATTTTCTCACTTTAGTGTATGACAAGTCTAGATGGACCTGGACTTTCTTAATTACTTTAAAGTCTGATGTAATAGTTGTTCTGAAATATTTTTTTGATAAAGATAAAGAATCAATTTAGAAAATGTATAATGGAGGGGAATTTTTGAACTCTAACTGTCATGATTTGTTTGTACGGTATGACATCATTCATCAAAGATCATATCCACACACTCCACAACAAAATAAAGTTGTGGAAAGAAAACACAGAAACTTATTTGAAAAAACAAGAGCTGTCAAAATTAAAGGTCATTTGCCTAATAGATTTTGGGGAGACTGTATAGAAGTTGAAACCTATATCATCAATAAAGTACCTCTGTCTGTTCGGGGAAATAAGTCACCATATGAGATGTTGTACAACATTCAACCTTCTTTAGCTCCTCAGAGTGATAGGTTGCCTTACATTTGCTACACTCCTGAGAAAGGATGATAAGTTTGCACCAAAAGCTAAGAAAAGAGTGCTTCTGGGTTATGTTGTTAGTCAAAAAAGGTACAAATTGTTTGATGTTGAGTCCAATGTTATCTTTGTTAGCAGGGATGTGACTTTCCATGAGACTGAATTTCCATTTGAATCTTCAAGCCTTGGTGAAGCTGAAAATCACGAGCCTTCAATATCTTATTCACATGTAGAAGATTTTGAACTCACCCCATGAGTGGTTATCAGGAGTAAAAGACTTACTATTGTATCTGAGACTACAATAGAATTTGTTTCATATGAACATCACAGAGATCCTGCCTAATGTCTTTCCACATGATCATGCTCCATCAGTGCAGACTTCTCCTAAACTTCATAGTGCATCTCAGAATCATGTGTCAGTAGTACACATCTGACATCCCACCAAGTGCCACCAGAAAGTCTAGCAGATCAGCTAAACCTCTTATTTGGCACAGAAATTATGTGTTGACAATGAATAATAGAACTACTGGAAGTTGCTCCTTGTTGCTCCCAATAGAACACGCAAGTGTACGTGGTCAATCAAATAATACAATAACTTTTTTGAGCCGAATTATCGAATTCAAAGGACTTTAACTTGAAAAATAATCACATTGTTGTAACTAAAATAAATTTACTTGTGTGACAGGGAGTTGTAAGAATTTGTTTAAACTACTAATATTAAGACAATTAAAATTACTAACTAATTGACAAATGATTCAGTTACAAACAAGGGTTTCACAATTTGAGAGAAATTCCAGGGTTGCAACATACGCCGATTTAGAGCATAATAAATCCTACTCCAGCATTCGACAGGTTATCAAGTTACTGATTCATAAGGTTGAATTTACGATCATGGTCTCCCGACCTCTAATCACCTACCACCATTGACAAGCTAACTACATCATTGAGCGGAGATAGGCATGAACCAACCGTGGAGCATTAAGCTATCATCTTGTCTATTAACCAAATGAGGCATATAGGTATATTTCTATCCTATATGCGAAACATTCTAAATTTTTACCCTAGAATGAACACGTTCCTCACATTCCTTGTTCTATCCCTCCATTCGTCTCCCGAGTTCATCTTATCATTTTAACTTTGTGTATTCTTTATAGTGAAAATTAATAATAAAATTAAATTATATTATTGATGAAAATTAGAAAAAAAATACTATTAATTCGGAATGAAAATAGTATATGTTAAATAACGTTTTTAAAAAAAATATTATACTCCCTCCGTTTAAAAAAGAATGTCCTAGTTTGACCTGGAATAGAGTTTAAGAAAAGAAAAAAGACTTTTAAATCTTGTGGTTCTAACTTAATGTTTTGTGAAATGTACCAAAATGCTCTTTAATCTTGTGGTCTTAAACATGTCATGTGAAAAGTTGAAGTTAAAGTGTTGCCAAAAAAAGAAAGGGGTCATTCTTTTTTAAACAGACTAAAAATGAAATGAGACCATTCTTTTTTAAACGGGGGGAGTATTACATTTAAAAAGAATTATGAATATTAGATATTTAATTAATTACATTATATGTAAAGTAATATGTTATAAGAAAATAATAAAAATAATAATAAAATATTGAAAAAAGTGAAATAGAGAGTGAATAATAGTTTTTCAATTCAACTCTCTAAATATGAAGAATAGAAACTAATATAGAAGGGGGTTGGAGTGTCCATTCTCTACTTTACTCTCCAAGTATAGGAAAAAAAAAGTAATAGAGGTGAATTGAAGATGGTATTATGAAATGATAAGAATAAAAGAAGGCATATTCTGTATTGTTGACAACAAATGAAGATTACTCTCTGGCCGCAATTTCCGGGGTGAATGCATCAAGAAAGTCAAAACAGGGATATCTAGCTGGTTACGCGGATCTCTGAGAAAGATCCAGTTTGCGCTTTTGTCTTTTCAAACACATTACACATCACTGAGATTAGTTGCCAAACCAGCAATAAAATTTTTATCATAAAAAAATTGTACACACTCGAAACACATAGTAATAAATTTCCTTATCAACTTCAACAACATTACAGTGAGTACCAAATTCCAACTGACAAGAAGAAATAAAAGACGCAATTAGGCCACCAATCTCAGCCACTCTGCATAATGTAAAGGCTTTAGTAGCGCTTAAAAGGCTCTTTTTACCTCCTCTTCTCTCCATTCAAGAGAAGAAGACCCGCAAAACTATGACTGTTCAGTGAACTATATATCCTACCTATAGAGTAAAAACAGTCATTATTTTGTCACAAATGTAGTTCCTCAATAAAACTATCACTCAATATATCAATTAGCATGCTGCAGAAACAATTACTTCTCTCACCAAATAGCATATATCACTGTACAAGGTATACAAATGTTGCAGATCTTATGTTTCGTCAAGGTCTCACAGTTCATTCAGAGAGCTTGCACAAAATCATAGACATGTTGGCAGTTCCTATTCATATTTGCATAATCTAAAATTCACCCCAATAGGCAATCACACTAAACTTCAAGTGGCGTCTGATCAAGAAACCTGCTCAACTAAACTGCAAAATACAAATTGAATCAAAACTTAGCACTATACAGTCATCATCAACAGATTAAAATGTACTACAACATTTTTCAGCATATTATAGACAAAACAATGTCGCACATACTTGGGTGAGCCAGCACTTTTAGAAGCAGTTCTGGCAGATAGATCAGAGTAGTATTGTTGAATAATAAAGCTATTCGATCTTGATCCACTCGGTTGAGGGGAATCGTGAGAAATCACTTCTGAACTTCCAGAGGACATTCCTGCAAACAATTTGGCAATGTCCTAAATCATCAGATAATTTGTTCGTTTGAAACAAATCTGATCGCTTACATGATATATCCCCATGTTTTTGCATCTTCATCTTGGCATGAAGATGCTCAGATAATGTGCACAAATATTTGTGTCGAGATAAGAAAATAAAAATTCCAAAAAAAGTATGATGTTGTTGTATTGCCAATACGTAAACAGGTCACACACAATAGCTTATGAGGATGATGGAGAATATGTCGGATGCAATTAACTCTACCCAGCATGATTTTAAAACAATTCACTCACAAAATTGACATATGAAAGATACAAGCAATGTCAAATCATTACCTTGAAAACACAGCACGAGAAAGAAGAGGACAGTGAAGAGAAATGCAAGGACACTGCTCGTGGATGATGATGATGAATTTGAAGATGCTTTAGCTGCTTTCATTTTCTTCAAAGCCTTGATTCTCTCAATCCGTACACGTTTCATCATTGCAAGTTCAGCGATCTCTTTAATAAGCTTCTGATCAGCAGCATCCAAAGATAATCCTCTTGGAGGTCTAGGAGGCTTTTTAGCACTACCGGATTTACGCTTATCATTCACATTTTTCTTCTCTACGCCATTTTCAGCCACTAATCCCTTGACCTTCACATTCTCGGGAGTGAGCTCATGGTCATCCTTTACATTGCTAATCATACAGAACCCATTTTCAGGTCTAATAAGTTGTTCGTCATCACAGAAATTGTTGAAAAATCTCTTGCCTATTTTATCAATGGAAATAGGATTAGTAGTTGCTACTTCTTCAATGGTGTTGTTGCACATCTCAAGATCAATCACAAAATCACAGGGTGTATGATCCATGAGTACTCCACTCTGCAATCTGCCCCGGATACTGATCTGAAAGAAAATTTATCAAACCCCCCTTCAGTTTACTGAACAGAATTATCCATTTTCTTCACCCTATTTTCATAAGACACACAAAATGCACCTAAAATTCTGTAAAATTAACAACTCCAATTGATTAAGTAAGCAGCTATATATCATGAATTGCTCAATTCTACTATTTCAAATGAAATTGTTCATATTTTGTATTTTGGTGATACCTACGCGTCTTTGACCATGAGTTTCACAATTTGAAATAAACAAATCATTCATACATAAAAAAGGAACTTTATCAAGTTATAACCCATTAAAAATGAGAATCTATTCAAATTCATATTCGAAAATGTAATTATCAAACTATACTTGACTGGAAAAACCAATCCATCTATTATCTTGGTCTAAGCTTAGTCAAAATATGTGAATTGAAATGAGTAAAGTAAGTGGAGAAAATCAAGATTTTACCTTTAGAGGCAGATTCAAAGAGTGTGATATTGGAGATGTGAATTAAGAGGAGTGCACGTATATATCATTTAATAAAATGAGTAGTAGTGCCCATTGTCAGAGCTTGATATTCAAATTGAATTATATGAGAGAGAATGCGACAAGTAAGGCTAAACGCACGAGGCTGTTTAATTTCTGTGGGAATTAACATCCAAACTACTACTCCCTCCGTCCCTATTTATTTGTCCATATTTCCTTTTTTGGTTGTCCCTATTTAGTTGTCCATTTTGACAAATCAAGAAAAAACAACAAATTTTTTCCTATTATACCTTATTTACACTTCTTGAAAATTGTAAAAGTGTATATTGTTTCCCTCCAATTTATTTCACTTGAATTCAAATAAGTTGTTGTAATTTTGAAGTGAAAAGTTGTCATAAGGGTAAAATTGTAACTTCACTGTGCTAATCATTGTTGCCTTAATCTGTGTGTCATTTCTAAAGTGGACAACTAAAAAGGGACGGAGGGAGTACTATACACTCATTTATTTATTTTTCAATTGTTGTTTTTCTTTACCGTTTATAAATTTATATATGATTGTTTTGTCATGAGGAAAGAGACTTGTCCAGTATTTGTTACCATTTGATTATGGATTTGACAGCACACTGCAGCAGCCGAGAAAGTGAGATTCTGCCTATTATAACATTATTTGCTTGTTTTTCATGAATCTCCACCGACACTTTTTCTGCTCCACTTTAAAAAAAGTAAAATAAATAAATTTCAATCTTACACTTTTAAATTTGTGTATAATACTTTAATTTTGTAGACTTGAACGTACAAGTTTAAATTAATAAGTTATTAAAAAAGAAAACTAATATTTTTATTTCAACTTACTAAAAAAATATTCGAAAACTAATAAATATATTATTTATATATGATTAAAATTATTTTTTATAGATATATAGTCAATATTAAATTCTTAATAATCTTTTCGTGTATTTATTTCTTTATATTTTGAACTCATTATAGAAATCTAGCTCTACAATTAGGAAGTAGTAGTTATTATTAATTGGAAGAAATATGTAGAAGATGATTAGTTTTGGGGTTTCAAATCAATTTATCATTGTTTTATTACTATTATTATTGTTTTTTAAATTAAAATTGACATACTCTTAATTCAGTAGGATTGTACTTGAAATGAAAGGATCAATACGTTTCTTAGAAGTAGTTAGTTTGTAGAGTCAAATTCCAAATGATAAATCAACGAGTACAAAATAAACAACAGATATCTTTTTTTCTTTATTAGGACAACAGGATTTCAAACATTTTTATATTGTTGCAACTTCAAATTGAAGGTTTTATGTTGTTGTTATGTTGTCATACTCATACCTCACATGGGTGGCAAGGTCACGTACATAGGAGACTAATTCAAATTATTCCAACAGAGATCAACACAATTAATTAGCACAATAATAAATCTATAATAAAAGGAATCGTAGTTCGCTCTTTTACAGTTTTTATGATATATTTTTTTGAGTTTTTGGGTGAACTAACAGAAGATAACTTTGTTTATCACAGTTCGCTCATAAATGAGGGAAGTGTCCCTTTTGGTCTGTGTTATTATTTCATCCGTTCACTTTTACTTGTCATACTTTAACTTGACACACTCATTAAGAAAGTACTTATTGATATATGTATTTTATCAAACTATCACCTATTAAATGATGTCTTGAAAAATGATTTGAAAAATAAGTATTTAATGTAGAGGGTAAAACATGAAAAAAATTATTGTCTTTTCTTGATATGTCAATAGGCACAAATAAAAATAAAAATTTATTATAGAAATAAGTGATAAGTAAAAGTGAACCAAGGAAGTAAAAGGATCCTTTTTGGTCCATAGCATTTAAAAAATATCCGTTTAGGAGCCGGACTCTTCGTAAAAGTGTCTTAGCCGGCAATGCCTGACCTGCAATAAAATATATTGCCACAACATTAATCTTTTGCCTGCGATTAAGAAAACTGAAGTTGGTGGTGCCGTTTGCCCAAGTATAATTTTTGAGCATATTTTTGCCGGCGATTAAGCTTACTTTATGAAATTCATGGCTAGTTTTATTCATGTTGACCTCTTTTTGGCCTTTAATTTATTACTTCATTTTCCAACTTTAGTGTCCTTAAATTCATATAAATTAATTGTCATAAACGTCTAACAAATTAAATTCTTACACAAAATATCAGAATAGGAACCACGTAGGAAGTGCATTCTATTCTAAAAGAAAAACAAATTAAAGATATTTGTCGGTCCCAAACACAATATATATTTTGTTTGGCCCATTTAGTCGTTAGCCACGATGTCCCTTATGATGATGTAACTCTTGGTTGGGTTGCTAGGTGTCCTTTGAAAACCTACCCTTATCTCCAAAGGAGATGTATCTTTCCTCAAACTACCGCTCCACCCCACCAAAATTAATAAATATCATATTGTCATAAATACATTTATTATTGGGATGTTCACTTTAATACACAATTTATTGTAAAACTTAAGAACAAAAGAACAATATAAAGAAGAAGAGAAGACTATAAGACGAGGAACAATATAAACTAACTTTCTTTCTTTCAAGTGTATTCAACGTTATTCTTAACACCACTATTTATAGGATTACATTGAGGAATACCAAAGGGTGTCATAAACATTACATTAAACCTTGAGAATTATTATCCATTAAGGAGGAAATAAACCTAGGAGTTATGGTCATCCAATTAATCATATTATCACCAACATTACTACCAATAAAGGATGAAATTAACCTACGAGTTATGGTCATCCATTTGACCACATTATCAACAACATTACTACTCATAAAGGAGAGAAATTAACCAAGGAGTTATGGTCATCCATTTAACCACCAAAATGATTTACAACACTCTCCCTTGGATGACCATTGATAGATAATATGCCTCGTTAAAACCTTACTAAGAAAAAACCCTGTGGAAAAAAAATCTTAGTGAAGGACAAAAAAGTACACATATCTTGTATTACGCTTTGTTTGTTGCCTCGTTAAAGACCTTGCCAAGAAAACCCATTCGGATAAAACCTAGGTCAAGGGAAAAAGAGTGCAGCGCGTAGTTTACTCCCCCTGTTGCGAACATCATTTAATTTCTTGGAGACGACGCATTCCAATCTTGAATACCAACTTTTCAAATGTTGAGGTTGGTAATGCTTTAGTTAACAAATCCGCTAAATTATCAACTGAGCGAATTTGTTGAACATTTATTTCACCTTTCTTCTCAAGATTATGAGTGAAAAAGAATTTTGGTGAAATGTGTTTTGTTCTATCTCCTTTAATATATCATCTCTTCAGCTGAGCTATACATACAACATTGTCTTCGTATAATGTAGTTGGAATATCTTTTTCCATAGAAAAATCACACATTTCTTGAATATGTTGAGTCATTGATCTCAACGAAACACATTCCCGACTTGCTTCATGGATGGCAATTATTTCTGAATCTTGCCAATAAACTTACTGCAAAACAGATATTCTGGTCGAGTATTATTAGCAAGATACATAAGAGCCCCCAATGGCACTAAGATATGGAGTTTCATTGCCAAGAAGCTCTTCATCATTTTTCTTGAGGTCGAAATGGATCTTTATGTATGTCAAGCGATCTCACAACCATCGGGGTACTCAATGGATATGATTTATCCATGTAAAATCGCTTTAAAACCTTTTCTGTGTATGTTGATTGATGGACAAAAAATTTCATTTTTCAAATGCTCAATCTGTAGGCCAAGACAAAATTTTGTCTTACCAAGATCTTTCATTTCAAATTCTTTCGTTAAACACTCAACAACTTTTGAAAGCTCTTTAGGAGTTCCGATGATGTTCAAGTCATTAACATAAACGGATATTATTACAAATTCAGATTTTGACCTTTGTATAAAAATACAAGGATCACTGATATTTAAATCATCAACATACACAACTATTATAACAAAATCAGATCCAGACCTTTTTATAAAAACACAAGGACAAATAGGGTCATTTTTGTACCCTTTCTTTAGTAAAAATTGGCTAAGACGATTGTACCACATTCGCCCTAATTGTTTCAATCCATATAAGAATTTCTGAAGCCTTATCGAACAATTTTCTTGTGAATTTTTATATGCTTCAGGCACATTGTATGCTTCAGGAACTTTCATGAAAATATCGTGGTACAATGAGCCATATAAATAGGCTGTGACAACATCCATTAGACGCATTTCAAGCTTTTCATGAACTGCCAGATTTATTAGCTACGTGAAGGTAATTGCATCCACTACAGGAGAATATGTCTCCACATAATCAATGACAGGCCTTTGCGAAAAACTTTGTGCCACAAGTCGTGCTTTATATCTTACGACTTCACCTTTTTCATTTCATTTTCGCACAAAAACCCATTTGTATCCCACTGGCTTGACACCTTCAGGTGTTCGGACTATTGGTCTAAAAACTTCACATTTTTCAAGTGAAGTCAATTCCGCTTGAATTGCCTCTTTCCATTTTGGCCAATCATTTCTCTGTCTGCATTCATTGACAGATTTTGGTTCAAAATCTTCACCTTGTTGCATTATTTCAACAACATTATAAGCAAAAATATTGTCCACCACAATACTATTTCGATTCCACCTTTTTCTCGTCGAGACATAAGTTATTGAGATTTATTCATTCTCATTATTTTCAGTTATTTGGACCTTCTCTGTGGTCTTGTCATTTGTTATGTCTCGGAGCTCTTCTTGAGCAATTTCCTTCATGATATGATCTTCATGATCATTTGTTCCTTTCCTTTTTCGAGGATTTTTATCCTTTGAACCAATTGGTCTATCACGTTTTAAACGTGGTTTAGACTCATTTGCTTTAACAATTTGTCCTACCGGGACATCAACTCAAACTGGAGCATTTGCAGCTGGAATATAAGATTTAGTAACCCTTGGAAGGTTAGTAAATGCATCTGGCAGTTGATTTGCAACATTTGCAAATAAATCATCTTTTTAACCTCTTGCTCGCATTGATTTGTTCGAGGATCTAAATGAGATAGGGATAATGAATTTCAATCTATCTCTTTTTCAAACTGCTTATGTTCTCCCCCTAATTTGGGTATACTGATTCATCAAAATGACAATCAGCAAACCTTGCTGTAAATATATTTCATGTCATAGGTTCCAAATATTTGATGATAGAAGGA